GCCAGGATGTGAGAGATGGTTGAGAACTGCTTGTGGTTTTGCTTTGTCTGCATAGCTTGTGGGTTTTTGCTGTTGTTATTATAGTGCCTTTTATATCCTAGACCATTTGACTGAGTGCTCACATCGAGAGTGGTTCTTAATGGAAGACTGTGAACGTTTATCTTGCTCTGTTTGGACAGTGAGTCTCAGAAAACGGATGAGAACAATATGCTGGTGGCAGTGATCAATTTAAGACTTGGGATTCTTCCTTATTTTTATTTTTGGGAAACAAAAAATGTTGGCATTATTGAAGTTTCTGCCCCCCTCCCCTTAGACAAGGGAGGAAACAGGCATTCTAAATCCAAGCTAAAGCTTGCATTCTGCTTGTGCAAGAATTCAGTTTTTCATGCAGCAGTGAAGTGACCGTGAGGTGTGGGTCAGGACAGATCCCTCCTCATCAGACCAACTGACCAAACTGATTCATCTTCACCGTGAGGGTGAAACATGCAGAGCCAGCAGAAGAATTGTCATCCAAGTACCGCATAAATGCTATTCCAGGGACTTAGACCTTGAGCTTAATGATTTATTTAAAATACTTTTGTTTAAATTTTACTAATTTTTTTAAAATTGATGATATATTTTTAAGAACAGGTGACTGTGTAAATTATTAAAACTTAAACCTCCTTCCCTGTCTATATCCTATTATTCCTTTTATTCACTTTTGCAGCAGTATTAGACTGACAGACTATACTTTAAAATTTGGAAGTATTTGGAAACAGCATAATTCTTTTATATATCATTTTTTATCCCTTTCTTCTTTTTATTATGTCATATCTTTTCATCAATATAAACAATGCTTTAATGCTGCTTGTTAAAACACTTTGTTCTGCTCACATTGAGCTGAAACAGGTTGTAGGATGAGATAATAACTAGAAACATTTAATTACCATCGATATTTATGTTTTCTATCACAAGGAAGATGGAGATCAAGCCAAAACATAATGATGTCTTCTCTCCCTCTGAAGTCCTAGAAGGTCTGGTTGCAAGGTTCCACTGAAGAGATGGGTGGCATTATACCTGATGTCAATTACTAGCTCTTATAACGTAAAACTTAGCTGAAAGCTAATTTATGGACATTGATAGTTGTTTTTAGATAGTGGATTTTAGCTCAAGGAATAATAATTAAAATCTTAATAGGCCAGTGGTTTTACTGGGTTTGCCCGATAATGGCATTTACTCACAGCAACAATAACATTTTATGCTAAGTGTTGTTTAAGTGTGTGTGTGTACATTTTCGATTTGAATTACAAAGAGACAGCACTGTAGCTGCTGAGGTCTTTAGCTCCACTGGAAACTTTTGGGTCTTTTTATAAACAGGGGAAATCATTCACCTTTCGATCAAAGAGAAGAGGGGCCTTTGTTTTTCTTTTAACTTTAACAATAGTTTTCTTCAGAAGCCACCTTCTCTTTGCATGAAGAAAATACTACAGAATTTCATATTGCTGTTACTGTACAAATAGTGAATGTCTGAGGCCTGGAGGAGGTACCAGAAACCATGAAACCAAAGCTTTAACAGAAGAAAAATGCTAGACAGACACTGCTTTTCAGACAGCAGTTACCTGTCTCAACACAGCTGCTATTCTTTGTGCCACTGCTACTGCCTTCAATGTGAAAATCATTAAAATATGCTGACTATTGTTTGAAATATAAGATACCTTGCAAACAGATTATCAATACTGTATCTACTTATAAGACTGTAGTTTCAGTCTCTCAGGTTTACTGTGTAGCCTTGAAGAACAAAAGAATAATTATAGTTTATTAGTTCATAAATCCTCATTTGAAGCTGCATGTGCTTTTGAACTACACTTGAGACTCTTCTGTTTATTTTAAATTCATTTATTTTCATCACATTCACCTTTCATCCAAACATACTCTGACAACTTTATTTCAGTTAACACTGCATATTGTAATTTGGAATGCTGCCTTGCTGATGAATGCTAGGATTTATAAAATAATATTTTTATCCATATTTTATTTCAGCCCATTTAAAGCCTATGTCTCCACAAAAAAATCCACCACCTTTCCAATCAATAAGTGTGTCACTTGTGTTGAGTCTGACATATCCTGCAGAAATCTTAGCTTTCTTTTGTAGAGAAGAAAAATAAGTATATATAGTGTGTGTGTGTATATACATAAAATATGTCTAAAATAACAATAAAAGTTCTTGCATGCCAAGAGGAAAATTTTTGTGGCACTCGAGATGGAGTTTGACTCCATCTTGAAGTCCTATGAGGCATAGCAGTTCAGGGATAAGTTTGAAGCACATTGCATATCCTGCCCGTGAAAGGAAAGAGAACGTATATGTCATGACAGGGTCTCCTCTCTGGTAATCTCTGAGACGGTATTGTGAATGGTAAGAAGGGAAGGAACTATGAAACTTTATAAACAAGAACTTTTTAATTAAAATTATCCGGAAGATCTTGTTGATGATCACTCAAGCTTTGATTTAACAAAGAGCAAATTCCAAATAAAATACTTTCTAATTACATTTTAATGGAAGACTGACTTATCTGAGGAAAAGGAAAGTTCTAGTTGCAACATAGATTAGCTTTTCTTACTTAAATTTGAGTTCTTTAGCATGACTTACAGAGGCAAATGAAATAATTGTGTAATTTAAGGTTAAGTATTATATCTAATTGGGAAACACAAATGTGAGCTTTGATACAAAATTTACACACTGCTATTGCTAGGTTTTACTGAAGTAATTAAAATTATCAGAGGAGGAATTAATTTAGGCCCTGTGTAAAATCAAAAGTGTACGCTTGTTTCTTTAGAAAAAGTAACGCATGGAGTGTTACTTTATTTGTCAGTGTCTTCATAGAGCTTTGTGTCTTTATCCAGGATAGCTGATTTGTTTTAGGTTCTTCATCTTTTATAATTTTACTTTTCTGCATGAAATGTTGCAGTTTTTAAAAAGTTAATGATCAGAATAACTTTTTGACAATATGGATTCATCTTGGCTTTACTTCTATGTAGGTGTTTGAAAATGGCAATCAACTTGTTTAAACAAAAGAAAAAAAAACCCACACAACAAAGAAAACCCTTCAAAAGCACAGGGACCAGCAGGATATTGGTATCTATGAATGATTAGCAACCAACTTGAAGTAAAAAATGCATCACAGAGCTCATTTAGAGGGGGAAAGGAAGCCCTGCAACAAAACACTCCATATGCACACCCCACAATGCTGCCCAGTATATGTTATGAGATATAAACATCTTCTCTAATCTTTGTCCCCAAGGCTGATTTTCATTTGGAAAATGTAATAAAGAAGCAGAATAATTAAAATTTACAGACAAAAAAATGAAGTAACACAGGATTCAGATTAGTTCCAGTTGTTCCAATTTCAACATCAATAACCTGAAATAGTATCTAACTGTTTTAAAGATCAAGTGTACACTCTGAAAATCATAACAGAATTATCCAACGAGAAATATATTAAACTAGAGATAAATTTGGTTGCTGTTTTTCACTAGGGTTCAGAATGCTAATCCTTTGGTTTGTAACAGGATAGGTATAGTGATGCTGAGGGTGAAGTTAATCTGCTTACATGTGCAGTCATGTTTTTTTCCTCGTTAGACAAAAACTTTTATTCATGTTTTTATGCTAATCAAGAAATGGATTTTAAAGCAATTATGCCATCTGCAGAATTATGAAGTGCATTAATCAACAGTTCCGATCTGTCTGATTAGTAACTTTTAATCATAAGCAAAGAAGAAAACATATATTTTAAATAAAAGTACTGAACTCCATACTCTGGGTTGTGTTTAAATGTATGCAAAGAGACAGTCAGTAAGAACTAGACTAGTTGATCAGAGATGTAAGAACACATTGATTTGCCCAGGTTTTAAATGACATAAGCATATAAATATGGCTCTCAATCAGCCATCCCTCCATGCTGCTTCGTTATCATCTAGTCTTCCACCTTGTACAGTCGGCTCTGAAATAACCTCCTATGGTGATGCCTGAATGTGTACGAACAGGTTTCTTCCTTTGGTGGGTTTATTGTTTTTCTAACAAGGTAAAACAACCTTAAGGAAACAAAAACCCAAACAACACCCAAAACACAAACACCCAAACCAAAAAGCAAACCTTGTCTTGTTCGGTTTAGACAGCCAGTTTGGGTCACCTTGGTCTGTCCTGCAGTTGGTTTCTTCCCCCTTTGTGGTAAGGCTGCCTTGTGTGACCTGGGGGCAGGGGGAAATGAGGGGTTTTTTTGATATGTTGGTGGAGTTGACAAAGAAGCATATAGTGAGAATAATTTTATTTACTATTTGTTAAAATAGCTGCTCTTTGTTTTCTTCCTCACACATTCCCTTAACCATCAGGCATGCACTGGGAGGGAGCCATAAGTAAGTATGGTGTATTGGCTATTTGCTACAGTACTAGTATTTAGCTTTGTATTACATCTGTTCTTTTTCTTAGGAAGCCTTCAAAAACATAATTTACCCTAATCCAATGCATGTAATTTTTCTGACAGAGCGCGACTTGGTAATGTCATCATGTTAACAGTGATCAAAAGCATTCATTAGAATTCACATATCTAATGAAGACATATTTGTTTTATTTCTCTGTTTATTTTAATGAATTTTGTGCTGCTTTCTGACCTGACAGTAAATATTTATTTGGCTATCACAAAATACTACTCCAGAAGTTAAGTGCTGTTAAGATCTAGTTGTAGCATTAATTATGCAGATGCAGATTTATCCAGAATGAGTCTTTACTACCTTTGGGATATCATTCTTCAATTTACAGTTCTAAGATTTCCTTTGTCATAGTCTGGTAGATTATCAATGAATTTGACTTGGTGTGTGGGTAACATTAAAGAGATACTTTCTTTTTTCCTAAAACCCCCATAAATTTCTTATGTGTTTGATAAATATCTTGCTTCCAGGGATTATCAGGTGCTGTGTTATGGTATTGGTATGGTTTAACTTACTTTCACATTGCTCTCATTAGGTAAACTGCTGTTCTCAAACAGCACTCCAGTGTTTGCAAACAGTCTAAATGAAATGTTCAGCTGCTCTTGAGATCCAGCCACACAATGTGGGTAAAGAAGAATGCGTCTCTCCTCCTGACAAGTGCCTTGTGTTCACTTGCGCTGTTTTTCCACCATTGTAAAATAATATAGCGAAGGCCTCATATAATCCCTTTTGAAGACAATGACATTCACCAAATTTCTTGACCGAAACAGGTCTTACAATGTTTATGGGTAAGAAAACATCAATATTCCTAACAAATCTAACAAATCACAATCTATCCATATGGCATGTTTTAGAATATTGAAGGGCAATTTTGGTAACTACTTCCTTGAATCATCCCCTTGACAAAGTTTAGACAAAAGGGGAGTACAAATGGTCAGCAGTATGAAAATGCCTCAATACCCATATAATTTATAACTTACTTCATAGTAGAAAATTTTAGTTATATGTTTAGTTTTCATTGGGCATAAAAATGGAAGACAGGAAAACGAAGTAGGTTTTTTCTTAAACTGGTGCATTAATGTGTAACTTGAATCATCTTTTCCCCTCAGTCTTTTATATAAACACCATTTCCTTAGCACTTTATGTAGTGCATTTCAGGTTCAAAGCTCTTTACACAAATTATTTTAATTAGTTTTCACATCTCCTCTGAGAGAGGTAAGTAAATATCATTATCCTCACTTTTACAGACAGGAACTCTCATCTGGAGAGGTTAAGTAACTTGCCCAAGGCCACAAGGGGGAATATTGTCATAGCTAGTCCTGGAAATTCAAGAGCTGTTATATCCTCAGTCCTTTAGTTTGTTTGATAGATGGCAACTTGAGTTGTCAGTGGTTACTCCCGTGTTACAGAAATATGTTCTGTGAATTTTACCTCTTTAGTCTCAGCAGTATTTTAAGCAAGGGAGAAATCAGGTTTTCTGTAGTCAGATTATAGCATAGTAACAGTATCCTTCAAAAGAAATGTCAATTTACTTTCCTGCTATGTCTATAGTTAAGTAAACAAGGTAGTAGACAATGCCCATTACAGTTGTTCCACGGGGTATTGCTTAGGCCACAGTCACTTTCTCAGTTCGGGTCGTGTTATGCCTGCAGCTCTGGTTTATGGGAGGTGCAGAAGATGTGGAGGTTTTTCTAAGCTGTGTATTTCTTGGACCTCAGAAAAATACAAATACTGATAGCATATGCTTCCTAAGAGAATTCTTTTCTTGCATACAGAAGACACAAGAAGCAGGGACAAGTGAGCTTGTATTTATGAAATTTAAAATACCACATTGCTTTTGTTGTTGTGGCTTGGAGGCTATTGTATTTCATGTCTGCAAAGAGTCCTGTCTCTTGGTGTCATCCTCAACTAGAGGATGCTTGAGGAACTGAGTTGATTAAATTTTCTGTTTCTTGAACTTTATGAGAAGGTTAGTCACAATGTAAAGAGTTTAAGGGACTCAGAAGACTAGTCATGTATTTTTAAAAGGATCATGGATGGAAAAGCATGGGAAGGAACCTACTGATGCTTCAGAAATGTAGTCTCTAACATGTATACCTATATTATACTATAAAAATAGAAGTGAAGCCAAGAATATATATTATGGATACAGTGTTGCAACAACTAGGGACCCTTACTTTCCACAGAGAGCCACTCACTGTTAGATTGTGCTAATGTTATGGCAGTGTTACAGTGCAGGATGCTGTGAGTTTCGAGTTACCAATAAACGGGAAATGAGTGAATGCTTGCAGGTGTTCAATCAGACAAAGAAGTGATGGAGGACAAATGGGAAGGAGAAGGTCTTTTAAGGAAGCTTCTCTGAGAAGTAGTTGTAATTGTTAGGACGAGAGCTCATTCCTTTTCTTGTCTGCACCAAGACAGACCTTTTCTTAACTTACTTGAGCTTGAATTGTGGTGAGATTTTTCTGTCATCTTTTCCTTGTTTCACAAGGAGAGATGTTGAACTTGAATGATTTACTCACACAGAGGCATCTGCTTCTTTCTGAGATGTCTTGGCTGATGTGAGATTTCTCTGTGGGGCTGCCAGGTGCTACACAGGAGCCCTCAGAAAGGCACACCCCATTGCAGCACTGGGTGGGCTTCTGGGACGTGTTCAGTGTACCCAAGGGTATGTCACATAGCACCATGTGCCTCACTGAGGCCTCTCTGATGCGTTTTCTAAGTTCTGTGAAACACTTAACAGATTATAAGCCTCTTTCTTGGTTACCTTGCACAGGCATTTATACCAGAACAGAAAGATGAAAAAGTGGAAGAAGCCCAAGTAAGACAGTGACATAACACGCTTTATGAATCCAAGTGAAGGAAAATATACAGTGTTTCGCCAGACATTCTGGAAGCTATGTGCTTAGCATATGTGCAGCAAGAGAGACTTGATCAACTACTAGCAGGGTGTCAAAATTAGTCATCATTGGAAGTGTTAGGTAATTTTTCATGATTATGATTAAAGAGTGTCTTTACATATAGTTAGTATGTAAAGCTTGAAAAATCAAGTTGTCATTGGCTAGCATGCTATCCCCCCTTCCTTCCAAACATACTCCCTTTCGTATTGAGCTACAGATTATTTTGTCTGTAAATTCAAACAAAATCTGTCCAGAAAGAACCAAATCACATATAACTGTTCATAATACTTGTTATCAAAAGCATATCCTGAACAGCATCTTACTTTTTGGTTTTGAAAGATATGCATTTATTTCAATATGACTTTCACGGATCTTATTAGCTGTACTGAAAACTTTGATCCTTTTTATTTTTTCACAGCATGAATACAATTAATGAGCAAGGATTGTCTTAAACTCTTTGTGGGACCCAAAAGTAAATAGTCTTTCTGTCAATGGATTTTACCAATTATGGGAATCAATTATACAAATTCATTATTACAATTTCCCTATTTCTCAACACTGAAGTCCCCCAGCTTTCATTGCTTCTAAAACATCATCTAGAAATTAGTAAAAGTTTAATGATATACAATTAACTTCTGTAAGTATGAACTAAGGATATCTTTCACTTTGCTTTGCTGTAGTGGCTGTCATAGCTTTCTATATGAGATCACAGCAAGCAATTCAAGACTTGAATTTACTTTTTTTTTCTTTTGCAGACTCTTTATTTGGCATTATTTAGATGGTGAATATGCCTCAGTTAGCAAAAAGTTGAAGATTTGTAAACTTGTGGTGAAGAGGTCAGAGTGGTTTCATATTCTCTGTTCTGACCCTTTCTTCTGGCTTCATGTCGTCACTGGCAGCAGAACCAGCATTGTCAGCCTCGTTGCCCTGTAGTGATGATATTTTAACTCCTCAAAATCTATGAAGCTGTTTTTATTTGAATTTTGAAACTTTAAATCTGGCCACCTGTGTTACTCCATACGTATCTATAACAATATGCAGCAGAAGGACAGACACATTTCTAGGGCTACTGGAGAGACAAAGGAGAAGGTGGAATACATAGGTGATAAAGGCAAAGATGGTTTAGAAAAATATTGGAAGGAATATTTTGGAAACGATAAATGAAGTATGGCCTTACGGTCCTTTTTAAGCAGAAAATTTAGAAAAGCAGCTGTGTATTTCTGTTGTCTCCTTGCTTTGAGCTTCTTGGAGGCAGGTAGGAAGGCCTGTTGATTAGGAAAGCCAACATCCCCCTGCCAAATTCACCATCGGGGTCAGAAAGGAATCCAGAGAGCCAGGGATCCAGAGAGGAAAAAAAAAAACAAACAACAAACTGATTGTATCAAGATCAAGAGTCCTTGATAATGGACCTGTAGGTTAAATCAGAGCAAAAAATAAGCTAAGATTGGAAGTCGGATACCTGCAGCAGGAGTAAATACTAATATCAAAAGAAGGAACAAGGCAGTGAACTCATCCTGCTGCTCAGAAGTCTTCCATGTGGCTGCCTGCTGACTACTTGGGGTAGGTCCACTTCTTGCAGAAGTTGTCACAGCTGTGACACCCGATTCACCCCTATACAGACAATGATTCGTTATTGTCCATGTGTGTTAAGGTCTTTAAAAGTCATGATAGCAGAAGAAATTATTGCAGGATTGCAGAAGAAAACAATTTCCATGCAAAACCTACTTATACACTACTGCACAAAATTCTGAACAAATGCTTAGAACCAGAAAATGTTTTGGAGTGTTGTTCTTTCTAAAGCAAATAGTAACTTAGGACAAATAATCAGGGAGTAACAGAACAAAGTGGTGAACAATAGCATTGCCATTTTCAATACTGTATTCACTTATCACTGAAGCATTTTGTTCCTGTCATGTTCAGCCCTGAAGTTTAACTAAAGACTTCTCACAAAGTCCTGTCTCTTATTTAAATCTACCATGCATACATGGTAAGTGTTTTCGTTCTTCCAGGTGACATTTTGTTGGATGTTAATACTTGAATAAAAGATAAAGCAAGCTAACCTGACTGCATTACTGGAATAATCTTCCCCTTTGTTAAGGTCACTTGGTTTTAGTGCAACTGATACTCTTCATCTCAGATTAGGCGCAGGAAGACATATTCCTTCTATCACCTTACTTAAGAGGCAAAAACATCTGAAAATCTCTTTGCATATGCAGGAATGATGGGCCAGCCAGTCACTTCTTAGACCTTAAGGACCAATCCAAATATTCATGTAGATGGTTCGAATCTTTCCCTTGTTTTCAATGAGAGATGGATCAAACTTCAAATAAATAATTTCTGAGAGAAAAAAACAACTGAAAAATAGTCAGATATTATGAAATATATACTAAGCTTACAAAAATGAATCATGTAGCAACAAAAGTGGGAACTATGATTACTAGCTTTGGTAAGGAAACTGCTGTTGCCAGGAAGAGTCCGATTACTTTAACAGCTCTAATAGATATGCATAAATCTTCCTTCCCCCTTTTTGTAATAGGACAGGGAAGTGAGGTTTCAACTTGAAGCTAGAGCATAAGTAATCTTTTAAGTAATACTCTTCAATTTTCTCATATAAAAACTTAATTTGGTGTGCATTATGGATAAAGTCTTACCTGCTGCAGGAGTGATATCCTGCGGTAATACTGAATGGTAATTACACTGCTGATGACTTTAAAGAGTTTACCATCTGATATAGCTCTGGCTGGTAAAACTGTATCTTGTAACGTGCTAAATTAAGGTTTTATATGCATAGGGAAAAGGAAAGACAGCTTTTACAGTGCCTTGTTTTATAGCCTTTTCCTTGAACATAACAATCTTAATTTTTACATGACAGTAAATTTTTTAAAATGTGAAATACACAAGTTTAATTAAGCTTCATTTCTCTAGATAAATGGTGACAAGAAGCAATTCTGAAAACATGGTTATATGATATAATTAAGCTACAGTAAATGTTTTTTATTAAAATGAGGAATTATTTCTTTGCAAGCAAAATTTGAGGGTTTTTAGCAGAAAGGGAGAACATGGAGCAGTATACCACTTTATCTGAATGTAAGTGAGAATACAGTCTTCAAACAGGTGGGCTCCAGACTTAAATTACAGTTCACCTTTTATTGTGGTGGATAAGCTAGGTACTATTTGTGTAACAGGGATACCAGCCAATGTTGATCTTGAGTGGTTCTTCTCACAATTTAGCACGTATATACAGGGTAAAATTAGAGAGAAGATTAATGTTAAAGCTGTGAAGTCAAGCGCTAAAACCTAGGCAGTGCTGACTATAATGTTGCCTGGGCAACTTTATTTCCATTGTGTTCATATGTTAGGGTAGGATTGTTTCCCCATGATCATACAGGAATAGAAGAAACAAATTTGTGTTTCTTGATAAGTGTATCTCCAAATTCTCGGTCCTCTTGCAGTCCTCAGTGTTGTTTACTGCCCATCTCATTGTCCAGCTGAGATGGAGGACTGAAATCTTATTATATAATTAAAGACCCACAAGAAGGCTAGATTAAAGTTCTACTTGCTCTATATGCTACCAGTAAAATGCAAAATTACTGATATGCGTATCAGAGGAAATGGATGTAGAGTTCATGTTGTCACTGGTTTTATGCCAGCTTTATCTAGCGAGAATAACAGGTCAGATTTAGGATCAGCCACAGCTAGCAATTTTTAATAGCTTCAGCCTGGCCAAATTTGCATGTATTTTCATGGGTCAGAGATTTTGACTCCTTCCCTATATCCCCTCCTATTTTAAACAAAACAAGTGGACTGGAAAGAGTGCAAGAAAGGTGGAGGAGGGAGGCAAGAGAATGCTAGCACTTACAAAATTGCATATTTATTCCTCAGATTAGTTTTTGAAAATCAGTCTTTCAATCTAAAAGCTTGTCATGCCTGTCCCGCCCCCTCCCTAAAGACTGTCAGAGTAGGAGATGAAGCATAGTTTTAGCCCCATTGTTCAGTCTGCCAAAGCTATAAACAAGTAAACAATGACTGTCTAATTAAAAAAAACATTAGCTAAATATAATGTGGGTGTTATGATCTTAGTATTATCAATGATAAAATAAGATTAGCTGTATTTTAATATGATTAATCAGCTAGACACTGGCAAAACTGGGTACCAGTTGAAGAACCTGTTTCTTCTAAGAATGAATGTCAAAAGGAGAAGAGCATAGATTGATTTAAGTCAATCCTAAAATAATATTACTTAAGGAGAAAAAGGAAATTAAATGCTGGGTATGATTATTTTGGAAGTCATGGAAAATTGTTTATGTGACCTTACAAGCCATTTAATAATCAATGAGACTAGAGAACAGTAAATGTGTTTATTGATCAAACATTAGTAATTTAGTTTCAACACACAACGTTTATGGTCTGATTCATGGCACACTAAAGTGGAAACTTTCAATAACATGTATGGAACTATCTGTAATAGTTGAGCAATACTTAATTTTGGTGTGGCCACTGCAGTGTTATTTCTTACAGTGTTATTTCTTAAAGTGATAGATTAATTCCGTTATGTATCTTGTTCAGATTCAAAGGGGAAGAATGGTTCTTAGTCAGATGCAAAATGCAGCTGAACCACGCAGAAAATGTTGGGTGGGGAAGCAATGCAGGTAGTCCAACCATTGTGGTAAACCCCTACAGTCCAAGGAGCTTGGACCAGCCTTTAAATTATTATGTCCAGCAGGCAAAATTAAGCTAACTTAGTTGAATTCAGACCATAATCTCTAATCGCAAGGTATGTGAACTTTGGAAAAGCTGGTCACCAGGTAAGAAATTCAGACCTTTGTACTTCTCAGTGACATATAGAGCAGATGAAATTGGTTACAGTATGCATGTAGCTGGTACTTCAAAGAGCTATTCTGAAAAAACTATTTCTAGACAACATAATCCACCTGACTATGAAACACAATAGCAGCTGTGATTTCTAATAATAATACTTTTTTTCTGTACACCAGAACACATTTGTGTTGACATTTAAGTATTGCTCAGCTAAGATGTTTCACAGCTTGAGGGAGAGGAAAATTTTTCTCAACACATCATGATTCTTTTTTCTGAGTGACTAACTTCGACAGTAGGGAAGGGACTGAGCAGCAGCAGCAGAAGGGTCACTGAAATATGACCGTTCCAGTATGGCCTTCCCCCCGGTGTGCCATTTTCTGTTTGGGTTCTGTGTCTGCTCTGTTTTTACTTTCTTAATAATTGTCCCCAGTGCCCCATCATGATCCCTCTCTGTGATAACTCTTCCCACTGTCCCATGACGTCATTTGAAAGGCTGGTGCCAGCAGTCAGAGCACTTTATCCAAATACTGGATGCCATTGCCAAGAGAGGCTGGTGACTCCAGGCGAGGAGAGAAAATGATGTAAGACCTCAGTAAATCTGCCCACTATAGCACTGCTAGCCCTCTCTGTCTGGCACAGTGTTCCATCATATCTCCAGGCTCCAGAAGGTATTTTAGAAGGCCCAAAGAGTGGCTTTTTGCACTTGTGACCTCACAGAAATACTTCATTCAGAAATACCAAGAAAATCTGTTAGGTTTTTCCCCCATCTCTTGTGTTTATGGACAATATTTGCAACAAAGTTTTGACTCTATAATTGATAGTGTTTGCCAATATTTGATTTCCTCAACATATTCAATGGAATAGAGTGCTTTTTATGTCCTTTGATAGAGATTTTTTAACCAGGGCATCATATACTTCACTTGGAGAATGCAACATTAAAATAACCTCTCATTATCTGGGGCATTTTAGGCTGACATCAAATATCATCACTAGGCTGTACACACTGGAAGGATAATGCCTCTCTGAACTGCTC